GTTTCCTGAAAATTTCCTTGAGTCAGCATGAGATTTGATCGAGATATAAGGATTTTAATTTTTGCTAGTAACAGGCGAAAAACCGGTTTTTCACAAAAGTGCCTCTGGCGAAGTTATTTTCATTTCTACACAAAAACAAATGTTGCTACTATCCTCAGCGTAGTCGATTACCTATAGTCCATGGCATTTTGAGATTCCAAGAGATGTCTGCTCAGAGACAGACACGTGCTCGGGGAAAGCGTGTCCTGTCCGAACGACGATAGCTGGTCCGGAACTTGCATAATTTTGTAGAGTAATGTCCAGACTATGTACGCATGCAAAAAAATTACTAAAACTGTATGTTAGTCTTCTGAGAACGGAGCTAGTTTCCAAAGATCCTCTGGAAACGCGATCTTTGAAAGTTTTTCAAAAGCTGTTTCCACTTGTGAAAAGTTTCGCTCAAGTCTTGGTTATCGAACAGCGAAAACCGCAGGTCTCTATCTCATTTTCGTCAAAAGTTATTCAAAAAATACCCACCCGCACTGTATTTTGGGATGGATAGTAGAAAATGCAACGAGGATATAAAAAGTAATTCACAGATATTATCGTTCATAGATATCGTATCATGAATATTATCTATGAACGATATCATAGATATTATCGTTCATAGATAATATAATTCTAAGTTCATGCCATTATGAATTTCACCATCAGCTAAAGTTATTTTTGATTTTGAAAAACGGTAGATTGGTTTTCTTAAGATAATGTTCTCTGCTTTTGTTCCTGCTTACATGGCAATTAAGTTTTTCAAATCGCCAATTGTACAGGGTGCCCAAAAAGTACGTTGACAAAATTAAAAACGATTAAAACTTGTCTTTTGTAAAAAAGAAAAAGATTAAAAGTTTTTATAAAAAACATTTCGCCAAATTTGACATTTTTGTAGCATTTTCTCTCCTCTTTCAGATACACTTTAAATTTTTTCGTTAGCTCTATTCCACATCATTTTATAGATGAATTCAAACCGAGAAGTTATTGTGCGTTTTTTCCAAGGACGAAGACAATCTGATATTGCCCGCTTACTGAATTAGTCGAGGCAAGTCGTCTCCACAGCCATCAAAGATCACCAGGAGAGGGAGAGCAACAATTCCTGCATTTTGTAGGGTTCTTCTGGCTTGCCAAAAAAATGGAACAGAAAAAGTGTGTTTCTGTTTTTTAGTCCGCCGTGCGTTTTTGACATTTTTTGTAGCATTTTTTTCAGTTTGAATTCATCTATAAAATGACGTAGAATAGAGCTAACGAAAAAATTTAAAAGTGTATCTGAAACAGAAGAGAAAATGCTACAAAAAATGTCAAAAAATTTGGCGAAAAACTTTTCGTTTTTAATTTTGTCAACGTATTTTTTGGGCACCCTGTACGACAAAAATTAGATTTAAACATGGACGTTTTTACCCACACGATCATTGCATATTACTCTAATCATATTCGTTAGCGAATACAATATAACTTGACAGCGAATTTGATCTACAATAAACAGACATCGAGAGAATCAATTAGAAAAATAAAAACAGATTATATCAGAAAAGACAAGTATCCACAAGTACGACAAGAAAGATGAAAAATTCACCATTTTCACTGCTTTGAATATAATGGGAACTTTACTCAAATATCTGTAGCAAACTGATTTCTTCGTTAAGTGTTTCAATAAACATGTTAATTTGCTTCCTCAATTACTATTCCCTGTAGAATTATAGTCAGTTTAATTATGGACAATTTTCAAAATAAACGTAAAATTATTGTTCTCCAACTTTTTTTCGAGAAAAATAAATGCCAGGATCTATTCAGATTCATAAATTTATCAGGATTGCTCTCCCTCCCTGGTGTATGCATAAACTTTTACATTTTTAAATCAGAACAATTACACATCGTTATAATACTACAAAAGTATTATTTTTTTCCTTTCTCTCTTCTTCAACGCACGTTCAAAACTCAGGATCTCGTCGTTGACACTATGTAGAGATTTCTGGTTATCTTCAAGAGTTTAGTGTACATTACTGAGTAAATATACGCGTTAAAGCAATCTAATGTGTTGTTAATATTAAATTCCTAATAATATGATATACAAAGTTCAAAATAAAGAAACAAATAAAATAAAATGAAAATAATATTCTGTACACTATTTCGTATTTTTAGTAGTACAAATTCTTTAAATTTGAACAAACTTTGAATTGAACCAAAAGAAACGGAGATTTTATCTGTATTTTTCTCAGACTTCACTTACCAAGATATTCAGGAGGGTGTTTCATAAGAATTCTTAAGTGCTCGACTTAACTAAAGTATAAAATTAATACGTAAGTATACAAAATGAAGACTTAAGTCTAGACTTAGTTAAGTCCAGCACTTAACTCAGTTAGTACAGCAGAATTTTTATGAAACATCCTCCAGTCTTCTTCATGATAGATGACACTCCAACGAAGAATATATTGAGAATTTCGACTCATCCGTGAACAATGGCAGGAGATAAAATCCCATTTTGTTCCCTTGACTTTAGTCTAGGGTCTTACAAACTGGTTGTCTGTGTGTGTGTGCGCGCAAAATACCGAAAAATGGGTGCTAGATATTCTATAGATAGGCGAATCACAAGAGAGAGAAGTAGAAAATTATTTTTTACAGAAGGGAGAAAATATTCTAAGAGATGATCTGAAATAATCTCTCTGAAATAATCTGAGATGATCTCCCGCTGCAGAGAGACAAAAAGCTAAGCAAACGTTTTCTGTGGCCGGGGATAGATGTCATCAGATAGTAGTCAACTGTGATAATACAAAGAAAGTCGGCTACGGATAATAAAACTTACAGTGTATAGAGAATCTATCATAGCGAATCGATTAAAAATAGTTCCAATCTCCTTAGGATCCGTAGAGGGTGTCCAGAAAACCTTTTAGCTTTATTTACATTAGATGGTTTTTCCGTGGAAGCAGGGAAGTTCACAGCGTTTGTCACTTATAGTGGCTGCGAACGCCGACCGAAGGAAGGCGTAAACATTGCTTTGAGTTCAGAAATATTTTTAGACCTCTGGGATTTTTTGCCTTTTATATTTATATTAGACTACGAACCTTACATATGAAAACAGAAAAACATCAAGATGGCTTAGCAGGGCCCCAGCGAGCGCCGACCGAAGGGAGACGTGAGCATTGTCTTTGATTTAAAAGTCACGATAGGGCGTTCAGTAGCGCAGATCCAGGTTATTAAAGTCAAGGGACCGAGCGAGTGGAGATGAGCGTTACCTTGTGTGGTTTTTGTTGTATAAAAAATTCAACTAGTAAAATAGTGTGAGGACTGACAAAATTTAGCTGCATGAAAAAACGTAATCAATCTCAAATGTGTGGGACTCAAATTCATTGGATAGAAAGCTCCCATGTCTTAAATCTCGCTCAAATTCCGACGAGATTCCGCAAAATTCTGTTCGAGAATACGACCGCTATTTCGTTCGAGAATCTGCAAAATTTCGATCCTTCAGCGGCGTTTCGACGAAATTTCGCGAAATCTCGCCGAAATTTCTTTGATTTTCGAACTTTTCCGCGCCATTTCCAGCCTTTCCCGAGGTCTCTACTACACCCATAAACAGTTTCATACCAATATTTCATTTATATTTAACTATTAATAGTTTTACATATGTAGTAAAAAAAAGATGAATGTAATGTACAAAGCAAAAATTAACATAAGTTAAGCAAAAAACAGCAGATAACAAATCTATCAGCTCTGTTAAGAATGAACGAAGAACCATAAAAATACCGCAAAAACACTTCACAAAATACTGTTTTTGTAACTAAACCTTTTCGCAAATGTCACAGTTACCCTAGTAAATGTAAGTTATAGAAAAAACATGACATTTTAGCACTATATTACTTAATCGTTTTTGGAAATTTCTTCTTCAGCTCCAATTTCATCTTGTTGTTGTTCTTGATCTTCGTAGACTGCTGCTGCTGCTGTTTTCAGTGCTAAATTTTTTCTTGCACTGCGACGTTTACCTAAAACCACCTCATGTAAATCACACCATAAAAGATCAGTTGTTGTTTTATCTAATCTAAATTTCGATTGAACACATTCTAAATAAAAATAACTTTTTTAATAGATTGGACAGAACTCCTTCTTTTTTCTACTAACCTTTGATTAATTGATAACGATAATCTTCTTTTACTTCTGTAACTGTAAGTGCAACGAATTCTTTTGGATCTGGAAAAACGATGTCAACTAAAGCAGTAACATATAAATTCACTCTATCAATTGTTCCGGCTACTGCTAACAAATCTATTTCTTTGCCATTTTCCTTTATAAATATCTAAATACAAAAAAAAATCAATAATCAATAACGTTCAATTCCCTAATACTCGCTATTTTTTTTTTAAATTCTTTTTGTGTTTCTGCTGTTGTTTCACATGTGTCTTCTAATTGTAAGTAAATCTAAATAGGGGCAAAAAGGCACAAGAAGTAAAGAGTTAGTAAAATTTTTCTTACTTTTCTTTTAGCCAATTGTTTTTGAATTTTAACTTGATTATTATACATTTTAGTAATACTTGTAGCCACACGTGCTTGACCTGTTAATACTTGATTTAACATTGTTTGTGTTTTTTTTGTTTCAAAAAGTAGTTGTTGTACTGACGGCAATTCGATTTCTTCTTTCTCTTCTTCTTTCTCATTGCTTGTTGATGGTAATAATCCTGAATTTAAACGTGATGTTTGTGTTGCTGAAATTACTGCTGAAGTTAAAGAACGATCTTCATCATCATCATCATCACTTGATAAGCATGTAGTGGCCAATGTTTTATCAATTCTTTGTATTGATGCGGATATTGTTGTATTAAATTGTTGTCGTGATTGATTACTTGGCTTTTTCTTCTTCACCGCGTCGTGTATTTTTGCTGACGTCGTTGTCAGTAATGGTCGTTTTAATTGTGGTGATGCGCTAGTGACTCCTGTTGATGAACTGGATTGAGTACCTGTATCTGGATAAACAGAAAATGAGAGGTACCAAATCGACAAATCTCAAGAAGATTACGAAAAAATACTAACTTAATAATTGCTGACGAGAAGTATTCAATCTTGGGGTCACCGGTATTTTACGAACCGTTGTTGTTGATATTTCTCTACAATTATTTCCGACTTCTAAAATCTAAAATACATCACTAAAGAATCATCGTGAAAAATAAGCTGTTCTAACCTTTAAGAACACATGTGGAACGTTGTTGTGTATCTCTATCTGAATAAAAGTAGTTAAAGATATCTCAAACTTCAGCTTATATCAGAGGCAAGAATTTTTTCTCACTTGAACGTTCTTTTGTACCTTGTTCGTCACCTACATTTCTTTCATCTCGTTCATAATCACTTTCTATTTCTTTGTTAAGTGGTTTTCGCATTTGATTCGCCAATTGTTCTAATTCAGTAAGTGTGCCTAAACGATTAAGAAAACAAGAGAGAGTAATTGTTAAAAAGCAACAAATTTCGTTATGTTACCTGATTCTAAAATCATACCATGATATTGTTTATTACCGCTATGAACAACTACAAGTCCATCATGTCCACTTGATGTACATTGTTTTTGTTTAACAATTGAAAACGAATTGTCGCTTGTAAATACGACGAGATGCTGAAGTTCCTCGTCTCGTGGTTTTGATCGATTTGTATAATGCTTCGTATACGGATTTTCATTGGAATAGGTGTCATAATACATTTAAGTTTCGATCTGCAGCAAATGAAGAAATAAACAAATAAATAATGAGAGGAAGAGATAAAGGCGAGATTGAATAAACATTTTCAGCACCGTGACGAAGTGTTCCGTGCTTATGATGGTACTTTAACGGGGATAGCAAATGTTTCTCAGGTCGAAAGCATACCTAATATTTTTTCTATACTGTGTCGAAAGTATGGACAAGTCCAGACTTAAGTGCTATAAAAGAAGATTTGCTGATGCGTGACTAAGAAAGAAAAATTAAACAAGAAAAGTTTGTTTAATCATGTTCAAAATCAACACGCACTTCTGATAAACAAAAGACATTTTGAAATAGTGAACGAATACATTTATGTCTAACTCGATCAAGTGCTATAATTGAATACGTGTTTGATAGTGTTACTAATGGAAATAAATCATCAAGCGTTGCATTTACTTCATTTGGAATAGAAACAAAGTGCGATAATGGTGTATCTATACGTTGATAATGTTTTAGAAATACATAATATTGATTTTGATAAGAATAAAACAAAATAATATCGCCATATTCAATACTACCTTGGTTCGACTCAAATGAAATAATATAGATCACGCAATTAAATTCTTGATCATATAATTTTGTATGAAATGTAACAAATTTATCTTTAAAACGTTTATAAAATGATATTTCACTCACTTCTTGTTGCTTGTTTATAATTAAATTTGTTAATGTTTGTCTAAATGGATCAATAAGTGAACTGGAAAGACGAATTCTGTTTAAACCTGTCGATGATGGCCATTTAACTTTTGTTGGTTGAATCATTGATTCAATGTTTGTCCAGTAAGCTATTTGACTCGCTAATGATCTACTTCCATGAATTTTTTGTTTTATAAATGTGATGCAAGATTCAAAGGAGAAGGCTGAAATAAAAATAAAAACATTGCTTTAGATAACATGTAAAGGAGAAACGAAGAACAGGAAATAGCTAGAATAATGTACCCCATAAATCGTTCTATCTAAGTGACTCTGTCTTACAATATCGCGAGCGCACCTGAACAAAATGCTAAACTATTATGTAATTTCACTTGTTTGCCCAGGTGAAGATGCGCATGTAATGAGAATAGTGATATTGCTTTATCATTATACACTAATACGGCTTGTTCACAATAGCGCTCAAGTAAAGCTTCACCTAATGTAATCTCATCTTGTGTTTTGGGATAATGTAAAAGTTTAATTGCTATTGAATATAAAGTAAAATGTGACGCAACTAATTTTGGTAGGTGTTGTATCATTAGGGGCACACCAATAGCTAAGACGAACAACCTTCCATTTTTTGCTTTCCATTTATCAACACTGGAGATTGATTCATAATATATTACATGCATATTGTGTGGTAAACGTGTTTGTTGTAGTTGCTGATCGATAACTTGAATCTGCCGTTTGTTTAGTAGTTTATTGCACCACCGTTTAATTATTGATTGTAAATGGCCCAAGCAAATGAGATGCATATAGTCAAATATAATTTGATCTGGATAATTAAATACTTCTAATAATATCGAGAAACCTTTAACTCCTGTAACAGATAGTTCTCGTCCACCATTTATTTTTTGTTCGGCTTCCGTGGCCGCTTTGACAAACTGTTGATGTGTTCTCTCTGTGAAATCGTTTTGTTCATAAGGATAGAGAACCATTCTTGAATCTTTACACCATTCACCTAAAAGACAAATAAAATGGCTCATAGAGCGATGAACTTTTTCTTCTCACCAGTCATGTGGACTAAATTCATAAAATCTCTCAGTTATTGTAAAATAAACAGTGACAGAGAACAGCGCAGAAAGGAATCTGGAGAGGTGGCTATCGGCTGCAAAAAAAAAGATTCACTGATTAAACAAACATAGGAGACTCTCTTTTACCTTTCGTACAGCAATATGAACAAGCGTAATAGCCATTAAAACTGATGGTGTTCAAAAATAACGATTTCGCTGGTAAATCCGAAATGAAAAATTGGGTTGATAACGATATTTCATATTCTAACTGATCAATGAATAAACTAAATTTATTTGACATTAAATATTTTAACTGATAAATAGTATCTTCCAAAAAAATATTGGCATTTGGTTTTTTTTTCCCCGCCCATAGTGCGACCACGACAATATTTCTTTGGTACTCTCTAATCGGAGGTGGTAACTCGATTATCGAGGCAAAACAAGGCCACAGACATTGTTTCGATGCTTTTGCTAATGGAGCACCATCACAGTGAAGTATTAATGTTATTGCATTCCGTTTCTGTGAATGATTTGCTTGATAAAATTCACCATAATGTATATCACCTTCTGGAAATAATTCATTTTTATTTAAAATATTTTGATTACGATACAGTATTGTTTCTAACTGCGATTTAATATCTAAAGTGACAATCTCAGTTATTTCAGTACGTTTCAATGTTTTTTTGTTCAATAAACATTTAGGATTAACACATTTTTTTTGACCATATTTTGAACTATGACATAATGCATCACATTTTAAACACAGATATTTTGTTGATGATAAGCAATGCTTGTCAAATAATTTTAATATACTTTTCCATGTGGTTGGAAGTAAATTTGGTTGAGGTAACAGCGACTTGAATAATTTTAGTAAACGTAAAACATTTTTTTTATCTAAATTTACACTTGTATAAAAGTCAGTCAATAGCTTCACCGCTGTTTTAATATTTGTTGGGCTATCCTTATATAATGGAGGTGAATCATCAATGATATGCAGGGATGCGGCACTAAAAATAAAATTTCTGATCAGAGTTACAGGAGAGAATAAAAAAGCCTTCAAGATATTTTCAAAAATTTCAGGAAGCAGGTTTTTCCAATCAACTTCATCAGTATGTAACCTGTCTTTTTCTTAAATTAATTTAGCTATTCTCTAATTCTCTTGATATTTTGTCAAAAATAAAGCACAAGCGTGAGAGGGAGATATACTATGATCTTCTAACATGTGCAAGGAACATAAATACGCGCGATCGAAACATGCTGTTTATTGAACAAAAAAACATTGAAACGTACTGAAATAACTGAGATTGTCACTTTAGATATTAAATCGCAGTTAGAAACAATACTATATCGTAATCAAAATATTTTAAATAAAAATGAATTATTTTCAGAAGGTGATATACATTATGGTGAATTTTATCAAGCAAATCATTCACAGAAACGGAATGCAATAACATTAATACTTCACTGTGATGGTGCTGTATTAAACACTAGAAACGTTCCTATTGTTTATAATTTAACTTAAAAATAACGAAGAAATATACTTGTATATAAGACGAAAAAAATGGTTACTTTATGATCCAACGAAGAAAACCAGTCTAATCTAACCAAATATCATCTACTATGTTCTTTCTCACTAAACTGTAAAGGCCGATCGTATCATCGATACAAATGACAAATTCTTTTCTTCTTCGTTAGCTTTATTAGCAAACCAAAATAAAAATAGACAAAGATTAACAATTCACACAGAAAAAACAAATTCTATGCATTTAGTGATGGAGGAGGTGGTCTAGACGGCGGTGGCCTGAAAAAAGAAAAGAAAATGTTGTTTTTACTGGAACTATAGAAATCTTAAATAAGCATTATTGTTTTCGAGAAAAAACCAAGTATCTGCTACAAAAATATCGAAAAAAGTGCCTCTCATAAAATTGCCGACAAGTTTAAAAAAACTGAAGTGGTTTCTCCTCAAATATAAAGGTTTTCCGGAACCAGCTTATGAACTTCAAAAAAATCTCACCTTTGCATGTATTGTTCTTCTAATGCTTCAACTGCATCCAAATGTGGTTCAGTGTCGATTAATTGTTCTTGTTCTTTATCTGATTCATCAGAATCAGTATCTGGTGGTATTAATATTGATTGTGCCACTGTTCTTCTTTCATTTCTCCGTTGACGTTTTCTTTTAACATTGTAAGACGTATTGAATCGAGATATTTTAGGCATCTAGAAAAACAAAAACCTAGAGCATCTAAGAAAAAAAGCTCTAAGAGATATAGCAGTAATAGAGTCATAATACGCTAGAACGGGGAGTTAGGCCTAAATTTCCACAATCAACGTAAACTACAGATGATACTAGCGATTCAGTCATTTTTGCAGCATATTTGTGAATAATTGGATAAGTCACCCCATTGCCAAATTTTGTACGGGAGCAGTCTGAACAAAACGCGAAACTTTTATTTTTTTTAAAAAAACCATGAAAT